CTGGAGCAGGGGTTCATGGACAAACACAGGTAATGACTGATCAAACTGCAACCAGTTCAACTGGCTGGCAGTAGATGTGTGGAAAGTGTTGGCAGGGACTGTGGTAGCAGACAAAGGTGCCGAAGTGGAATTCTCAGGAAGAATGGGCCTTTTTCCCCCTTTTATTTGTTTGAGTTGTTTGGTTTCATTTTAAACTCTGTAGTCTCAGAAAAGCCCTTTTTCCTGCAGTTCGAGACTGTGAGTTTTGACTAATTAGTTCTCATTTCTGGCTCCCTACACGTGTTGTGTACCCCTGAACAATGATGTGATGGACAAATGGTGGGTGCCCCTCAGCGAGAGACTATTTGAACACTGACCTGGTGACACTGCTCACATGGAGGGGGCAAAGCAGCTGTTATGCCATATGTTGATCATATGTTTTTACAGTATGCATCACAGTGACCAGCTGTGCATCACAGTGACCAGCTGTTTCTAGGAGACAGTAGTAACAGGAACTGGAACAGGAACTTTTACCTGAGCAGCTAACAGACTGTCTGGGGGCGTTTTCTGCTACCCTCAGATCTTATCCACTGATGACTTCCCCATCAGAGGTCTTCCCTGGACACCTCAGCTAAACCAGGTCACACATCAATCACACTCCTGATTTTACCCGTTTGGGGAGTGAAGCCAGGGCTGTCACACCAGACCCCACACCCCTAGCTTTTTTTACTTTTAATTTTGACAGGGGTTCCTGCTAAGTCACTAAGGGACCAGGCTAGACTTGAACTTTCCATCTTCCTGTCACAGGCTGTGTGTGAGTGTCCTGGATGCTGAAATAAACACCTTAGCCCACCCCTTTCCAAATATATGTCGAGGGAACTGTTCACCATTGAGGAAAAACGATTTTCAGGATGTGTCCCAAAAAAGAGACAGAGAAGGACTCATTAGAGGGGGATCCTGGGCACACATAAGAGTAGGTTGTGGATGCTCAAGGAAACAAACAGCCTACAGTTGGAAACTGGGAATCCTTTATGGGTTTGGAGAGGTGGATACCTGTGGAAAACCAGTGATCTAGAGTCTGTCTCACTCTCAGTCTTGGAGGGTGAGAGAGGGTGGCCTGACCTGGGTGAGAGATCCCTAGGGCAAATGCCAAAAGCACAGTCCCCTCCTCAGTGGAAAAGGCCTTGGGGGAGAGTTAAAGGGAGCTGGCAGACCCATTGTGTGCTAAAAGGGAGTTGCCCAGGTTTGCTGTCTGGGGAGAAGGCAGCTTTTCTTGAAAATAGGTTTTGAACTGCTTTCCCTTCTGGTTTCCTCTCCACCTAATCTTTTATTTCCTCTGTCCTGCCTTGCTCCTGCATCAGCCTCCCAGAGTGCCAGTAGGCCTGATGCACACTACCCTCCTGCCTGGCCTCATTTGCTTTACAGACCTCTCCCCTAGTGAGTCCTCAGATGCCCACTGTGTGTTCCCTGTAGAACACAGGCCCCCAGGTTGGGCTCTGGACCCTGTGTGCCAACCCCACAAGGCTCAGAGTTGTTCCTCAAGGCCCATTTGCTGAAGGTTGGAGCCAACAGTGGTGTTTCCCAAGCAGAGGCAGGCAGACTCCCAGCAGGGCCCACAGAGGTGCGGGAGTGGGGTGGGGTGGGAGGGAGCAGCTGGTCCAGAAATAGCAGGTGGCAGTGGCCTTGCTGGGGGGAGCCACCTGGATGGCTCCACTTTCAGCCAGGTCAAGGGGACAAAAGTAGCAGCAGGTGAAGGGAGGGAAAACCCCTAAAAAGGGGAGAACCAAAGTACAGAGGAGGTTAAGTGTGGGGTGCAGGCCTGCAGTCCCAGCCCTCTGAGACTGAGGCTGGTGGGTTGTAAAAGTTTGAGGCCGCCTCGACTACACAGTGAGTTCAACAACAGCCTGAATTACAGAGTGAGACCCTGTGTCAAAAAACAAAAACAACAAAAACAACAACATAAAAAGATATATACAAAAGTGAGATGAGTGTGTCTGAAATGGCATTTATTTCTTTAATTCTCTCTTAATGCTGGAGACTGAACACAGAGACTGGGCCGAATTGACATTCCCAACACTTTATTTCATTTTTTGTTTATAAATTCTGTGTGAGGCCAGGATAGAGAAAGGTCCAGAGTTCAATTCCCAGTGCCAAAGAAGATGAATTCTGTGTTCAGTCATCCATGATGCCAGCACATGTGATGCCATTGTCATTGGAGGACTTGATACATGGACATAGCACCTTAGTTGTGTTCACCCTGTTATACTAAAATGTTGAAAAATTAAAATAATTGATTAAAAGATGATTAACAAAAATAGCTACTTAAAAGATAGTTATTAGCAATATTGTCATTTATACTGAGCTTGTTATCCTAGTAACCAAGCACCAACCACATAGTTATAAATTAACTGACCGCATCGTCATGCTGTTCTATAATGCGTCATCCCCCCAACCTTAGGGACCTGTGTGCTATGTCAACTTTTGTTCCCCTTGTAAGAGACAAATTATGCTGTGTCAACCACTGTTGCCTTTGCGAGACAAACATTGAGAGACAATGTTCCTGGAATTGGCAGACCAAGGGCTATGAATTGGCTAACCACTCACTGTGAAATGCCTCTGACCTCAAGCAAAGGGGAACAAAGGCTCACCTTGTTTCTGTTTCTCATCACTATGTATTTAATGATCAATGAGCTAATCATAAATGAACTATAAAAATCAGTCAAAACTCTAACTCAGTTGCACAGCTTTGCAAATTCCATCTGCACTGTGTCACTGGGCCAGCTAAAATAAAAGTGCTTCTTCCTAAAAACGATGTTGTTTTGCCCCATCTTTTCCATCTCAGGGGTTTTGACCCATTTTTCATCTCAGGGGCTTTGTTGGGGAAGTACAACACACCTCTGCTCCCCACCCCACCATGAACTCTTCCTCAGCGAAAGGATGAGTTCCCCCAGGCGCCTGAGTTACCTCCAGCTCACTCTAGGGCCCAGGCCACACCACAGGGCTCCCAGGTGTCAGTCAGTAGCTGGGGTCCTCGGTGTCATGGGCAGCAGGCAGTTCTCCCACGGGCAGATTTCTCCCTGCACACACAGGCCCAGAGCTATTAGATGGGTATCCATGCCCCATCCAAGGCCTCCACTCTCTGCTTCTCCCTGGGTGCCCACTGGACCTCAGCAGAGTCCAGCCCTGCCCATGGTGCACTAAACTCCCACAGAAGGCAGAGAAGAACATGCATGAGAGCAGGAGAACAGCAGGCCGCTGCAGGGGCATCACAGTGCACAGGTCCTCTCCTGTGTTTGAGTTCCTCCCTCCTCTGTCTGTGTCTGCCTGAGGGGCGCTGGGTATCTCTTTTATTAATCTTCTTATATCTTGCTTTATTTGGCTAAACGTTTCACTTTTGAACTCGTCTATGAGGTCCCGAATATATCTCTTTATGTCCACTGGTGCTGTGTCTGATATACCATGTTTGCTGTTCTCATTCTCCTTTGTATTTACCTGTCCTGGGTCAATGTTCTCAGGGTTGGGGCCTGGGGCTTTTTGTTGTTGCTTCATCTTCCCATCTTTTTTGCTTCTTCCAGGAGGCCCCAGTTTCCTTCTTTGTTGGTTACAATTCTTCTGAAGTGTGTTGACTAGATGACCCTTCACACTGCAGTGTGCTAGTGAGTTGCAGACAGGGACAGCGTATGCTGGCCCCTGCCCTCCAGATCAGTCAAGCTGCTGTGGCCTGCACTACTGTATTACTTTGCATGGCCCCTCCAGACCAGCCAAACCTCCGAGGCCCCACTGGGCCAGTGTGGTTAGAGTGCAACACCGCTACAGGGACTTGACCTCAGATAACATATTGGGTCTCAGCTGGTTCACATGACCCAGGCCTACCTCACTCCACCAATCCCATTCAGGAAGGGGACAATTGACTGAAGTCACTGCTGCCCCTTGTACTTGCCAGTCCTGCCAGGTCCCAGAATGTCGTCCGCCAGAGCCCCCCTATTTATGGAATGGCTCCACTCCTGTCACTCACCACAGGTCTATGTAGGTTCCCTGCCAACTCAGCTCTCCTTTCAGCTTGCAGACCCTCCATATCAATATAACTGTGCCTCCAGTGAGTCGAAACAACGGGAACTCCAATGGCTTGGCAAGTCGCGGCGGGACCCAAGCCAGTGGTAGTGGAACCCCGGCAAGGTGTGGTGGCGACCTGGCAAGGCATGGCAGCAACCTGGCAAGCCGTGGCAGGGACCAGGCAAGGCACGGAAGGACCCAGCAGTGCGCGGCAGGATCCCGGTAAGTCGTGGTGGGACCCTCGCAGGGTGCAGCGCGACCCCGACAAGTCACAGTATCAGCCAGTCATAGCGGGGCCTCAGATGGTTTGCAAGTCACGTTAATTTCTTCTTGGGAGGAGAGAATTCATCTCCCTCTCTTTGGGGCTCCCCACTCTGTATTTTGTTCAATTCTAAGTTGACTATCTCAAGGAGCTTCAGTAGCCAGTTGTTATCTATCCGCCATCTTTGCTCCAGGATCTCCCTCAGCTCTTTAAGCTGATTTTTTTCCCTAGACCACATTGAACCCCAATTTTACCTAAAACAGTGGATGGCTTTGCTAAGCCTCCTCTGATAGTTAATGCCTCACATTGGCCATTGGAAGGTTAGATCAGGGATCTGGGTTCAACACACCCACAATGAGGCCAGAATTCCCATGGCTAGCTGCCGGCAGCGCCCATTTGAATGGGACACACATGTCCTGCAAGGGGGACACACAGGATAGTCCCATTAGGTGGTATGGACAGTCCTGCATGCCCTGCAGTGGTTCATGCCAGTGGGAATTCGTTAAACTCCAGCAATACATGCCCACATGTGCCATCTGGAAGTCAGACATTTGAGTCAGCAGGCATTTTTCAGAAAGACTTGATGGGTGGGGTCAGCTTCCTTGACAGCTCAGGGTAGAAGCCAGGCTCTGGGGTCCTGAACCAAGTCTTAGCCTCTGCGATGGGACAAGGAGGGACACGACTCCTGCTTCCCCATCCCACTTGCATGGTCCTGTGTCTCTGTGGAGTCCTCAGTCCACAGGGACCCTTGCATGTGAAGGAAGTTGAAGACTGGAAGAAGTTGCATGCCGAACTCAGCGAGCAAATCAGGACCTTGGAGAAGTCTCAGCGGGATCTGGAAGCCACTCTACCTGATAAGGATGATAGCATAGGTGTAAGTTACCGTGCTGATCCAGCCTGTTCGTGAACACTCAGGAAATAAACCCACTGTGAGGATGGAGAGGCTCTTAACTGCCGCTCGATTCTCTGCTAGGCTCTGCCCAACTGCATCATGGAGCTGAATCATTTGAAGAGTGGATCAGAATCTGAGGGTCCAGGTCCAGGCAGATGTGAGCCAGGTGAATTGGCCAATGGAGAAGTGGGAGGTAAGACCGGCCCTAGCCCAAGGGCCCTTTTTTTTTTTTTTTTAAAACCAGGGATCTAACTCATGACCATGCACTCACCAGGCAGGTGCTTCTGCCACTGAGCTAAATCCCCAGCCCTTCAAGGGCCCTTCTTTTTTTTGTCTTCTTCTCTTTATTGTTATTTTAGACAAGGTTTCTATGTAGTGGCTGGCCTTGAACTCACTGTGTAGCCCACACTGGCCTCAAACCCACAGCAAATTTTCTACCTCAGTCTCCTAAGCACTTTTGTCTTTAATTCCATACATGGATACTGCTTCTCAGCTGAGTTTCTTCTTGCCCTGACTGACTCATGCAACTCTTTAGGTTCTTCCAGGAGGCCCCAGTTTCCTTCTTTGTTGCTTACAATTCTTGTGTGTGAAGGACCCAAGAGGATGAGAAAATAGACAGACAAATCTGGGGTCATGTGGAGACCTTAACCCTCCTGATGGGAAGAAAGGAACCGGCCCCTCACTGCAGGGGCATTTATTTATACCTTTTAGCAACTTAATGTCATGTGATACCCTGTTGTCCTAGCAGCCCACTGTTCAGATTGACTTGGGGCTTGGTGTTCTCTGGGCTGAGGCAGCTTTTTCACATGGCAGCCCCAGGGGCTCTTTGTTCTTGGGCCAGCCATGCCCTGGCCCTGCACGTGTGGTCGGTTTCTGGCTTCAATGGCTCCCAACATCTGAATAATTCATACTTATGTCTGGGTCACTGGGGTGCAGTACCAGCAGGCAAGTGGGGAAAGCTGCTTTTCCACCCCTTGAGAACCGGATGTGTATACTGGAGCCTTTTGCCTTTGTGTTGGCCTCTGTGCCAGAGAAGAAACTTTCTCAGCTTCCTGGAGATGACACTTGTGTCCACACTCACGGCCTCTGCTGTTCTGCGGTTCTCAGGCCCTTGGCCAGGGTCACCTAGAGTATGGGGATGGGGGAGCCACAGCCCAGGCTGTGAGGGCAGAGGCTGGAGAGCAGCAAGGTCTGAGATGAGAAAAGTGGTCAGGGCACCGCCCCAGCTGCAGGGTGTGCTCAGGGTGCGAGTCTAGACTCATGCCAGCTATCTCCCCCTAGACCATCATGTGGCAGAGCTAGGCTTGCTCACCCACAGCCCAGGTGGCATGCTCTCTTGGCAAGAGCTCACAAAATCTAAGGGTGCAGTGGTCATGAAAGTCAGTGTGTCAGTTCTGTTGGTGAATTGTTTTTCTTTACAGTGTTTGATGAGCATTAGTTTAGTTTTGTGGAAGTCAAGACAACAGTGTTAGAAACGGCACAGGAAGAAACAGCCACACTTGTTCTCTTTGTAGGTGAGGAGAGTAAGATGAAGACTAACATGCACCAGCTGATGGATGTCTCCCAGGTGAGTCCTCTCACAGCGCACCCCCAGGGGCCCACGAGTCCTGACTGTGCCTCACTTTCAAGCCTGTGCCTCTCCCTCACAATTTTCAGACACAAGCCAAAATATCCGTGGTTCAGGAGGATCTCAAACTCCTGCAAGTGAAGCTGAAAGCCTCCCTGTCTGCCAACTTTGACCTGAAAGGTAGGTCCCTGAACACATGGTGGTCAGGCTGAGCACTGGCATGGATGAGGCAGGGATGCTGGGAGCCTGGTTCTGTGTCTTTGGCAGTGCTCTTGGTGACGCGTCTCACCTCCCAGACCAGATCAAGAAGCTGAATGAGGATTGCGGCACGCTGCAGGCAGCCAAGGCCGGGCTGGAGGAGGAGTGTAGGATGCTGCAGCAGAAGGTGGAGATCCTGAACGAGCTGTACCAAGAGAAGGAGATGAAGCTGCAGAAGTGAGTCCGAGAGATTTTGCCCAGTGTCTCGTGCTGGCCATTCCTGTCACTTCTGATTTCCTAGCAGCTTCGATGTGCGGTGATCATAGAGGAAACTTGGGGCCCAGGGTGCTGCTGGCCTCCTGTGATGGCGACCTCAGGCTGCTCCTGCCTGTCCACCATCACCATCATCCAGCTATCAGTTCGGCCCAGTGTCCCTGCTTCTCTAGCCTCAGCTCCACTGCTTGTTTCTTAAAGCCTAGGGATTTTTGGAGGGCTCAGTTCAGCATCTTTGGCATTGTCCTCAATGTGTGGGTTGAAGGAGGGCAGCACTGGCCTCTGGGGTCCACATTTTGCTTTGTGGCTGGGGCCACAGGCTCCCGTCCACCCATTTGGCCTTGCTTGTGTGCTTATCATGGCATACGTCTAGAGCAACAGCTTTTCCCAGACAGCATGGGGGGGAGGTAGACTCCACCTTTTGCTTTCCCAGCAGCTCTGCTGGACAATCCTGGCTTCCCTCGGGGTACACTCAGCTCCCACACAGGCAGGTAGAGCTTGGCGCATGCTGTGCTCTTAGCTTGTTCTGTTTGCTGATTAGACAATTACAAGTAGAGGTAAGAGAATATAAGAACACAAGCAAATGGCCCAGAGCCTGGAGCTTGACTTCCCTCCTGAGACCCTGTGCCTGCTGCTGGGTGGGGAAGTGGCCTGTGGGTCGAGCTTGCCCCTGGCAGCTGCCATTCTCCTAGGAAGTTGAGTCCGGAGGAATTTGAACAGCAGCAGCGAGACCAGCAGCTGTCGCCTGCAGATGAGGAGGTGGTGCTGGCCACAGAGTGTGGTGTCCGAGACAGAGGACCTGGGCTGAGTTGCTTTGTTACATAGAAGAGATGGGCACAGAAGCACATGAACAGTCCAAGAATGGAATGTATTTAACTCACATGGGGAGGGGTTCTACATTAACAGACAGAAGTTTGTTAACAGCGAAGCTCCTTTGCAGATGTGTCCTGTGCCCATTTTTAGGAAAGCGGCCTGCTTCTGTCACATGTCCACACCCACCAGAATCTCAGGACCCCGACAGACCAAGGGCAGCATTTTGGGTCACTTCTTGTGGCTATAATTTGAGGGGGAAACCTTTTTTTTTTTTTTTTTATCAGTACCGGGGATCACACTCACGACCGCCTGCTTGCAAGGCAGGTGCTTATGCTGCGGAGCTAAATCCCCAGCCCCTGAGGGGGAATCCTTGATGGGGAAGGTACCCTTAGCCAGATTATTTTGCAAATGTTATTGCAAGGACAGTTAAGGAAATTTATAAGTTATCAACTCATAATCTCTAGGCATTAAATAAAAAATCAGGAAACTAAGGTTCACGCTGCACTCATCACGTTATGAAATGTTTCTGTATGATGAAGCCTTTAAAGGTCAGACATGGTTAGATTGTTTCAGAATTTATTTGATTCTAACTGCTAAGTATTATTTTTAGGCAGAGAATCCAGGAAATGGAGGAAAACTTACAGAAAACAGAGTGCTCATTTAAAAACCAGGTAAGGAATAGAGTGAGCTGTGGTGACAGCATCCGTTAATCCCCCACACAGACGTCATGGAGGGCTGCAGCCCCGGTGACTCATCCCTCAACCTGAGTCTTGCCCTGTTCTCTTGCAGCTTGGCACTTATGAGAAAAAAGCCCACGAGAACTGGGTAAGAGCCTCCTCCTTGCCTCAAAATCTCCAGCTTCACTCAGCCGCTGTGCTGAGCTGGCCCCTGTGTCTCCACAGCTCAAAGCCCGCAATGCAGAGCGCCTGATGGCAGAGGAGAAGCGGCAGGCCGCCAACCTGCAGCAGAGGTTAGCAGCGCTTGGCGCGACGTGTGGCACTCACGTTTCAGCCCGCTCAGGGTCACCCACCGCCCCACTCTGTCTGTGCACAGGCTAGTAGAGATGAACCAAAAGCTGGCCATGCTTCACGAGGAGCCTGAGATCATCAAGCCCATGCAGGACTGGCCTGGAGTGCAGAATGCGCCCTACAGAGGGGGGCTACAGAGGTGGGCACTCTGTCCTTCTGAGTGCGACTTGGGGGAACTTAGCCACTGCAGAGAAGTGGTAACCAGCACGTGCATTGTTGCCACAGGTCCTCTGAGCCAGAATGGCTTCTTTGGCCCATCCCCTATGAGCAGCAGTGAGTGCTCCAGCACCCAAGCACAGAGTCCCCCAGACGACCGCCCTCTGCAAGCCTGATCTTTGCATGCTGCGACATTCAGAGAGCCGACTTCGGTGAGCCTCTCCGGGCCCTCACGGCCCGGACTCAGGGACACCATGCTGCCTTGCCCCGGGCATGGTTCCCTGAGCTCTGGTACAGAGCCCAGGCACTCCCGGCTCGGGTTTTCACTTAGCCCTGGGCCGTGTGCGGGCCCACCTGGATTGCAGTGTGGGAGCAGAGTCCTGGGAGCCGTCGCCCACCCCGTCACTCCCAACCGCCTCTGGCTGCGGCATGGCAGAGGCCCGCGGTGTGGCCCTCTCCCTCTCTGCACAATGTTCAATGAGTGGGCGCGCTTTCTTCACCACTCACCTCCGGGCCACCAGGGGCCGCTCCCGAGCTAGGCAGGTCCGAGTGTTGCTGGTTCCCTGTGCTGCTACCAAAGTGGGTGGCTGCCGAGTGCGGGCTCAGTCTTCCTGGTCCCTGTTTTCCTCCTCCACAGCCTGAGACCTAAAGCAGCCTCCCTCTGGCTGGGGCTGCCGCAGCACAGCCTTCTCGGCTCCCCCAGTCTGCGAAGTGCTGACCAGGTGGAGCCCCGCAGGCTCAGAGGCCTCCTTCGACCCCCCCACCCCTACTTGATGCCTGCTCCGTGAGCCGGGCCCCGCTGGCTCCGTGGGAGGGCTCCCTGGCCTCCCGCCTCCCACGGGCCTTGCAGCTGCCTGTCAGGGCAGCCAAGCCTCTGCTCCCTCCAGGGCCAGTCCTCGGGGCTCTGCCCTGTCCCCGAGGGCACTGCTGAGGGCGCGCCCGTGGCCACTTATCGTCCTCGTCCTCGTCCTGGGAGAGTCCTCTGAGTGCCTTCTCTGCCCCCAGATCCCGGCCCTGGCCCCGTGCCAACAGCAGCTCCCGCAGCTCCTCCCCGGCAAAGGACATGGATGACGGCAAAGTGAGCCTGGGGCCCGTGCCTGCGCCCATGCTGCTTCATGCGCCCTCAGTTTCCCCTCTGTTCTCCATCTGGCCTGGGCATGGCGACCCCGCTGACTTGGTCACCATCTAAATCCGGCCTTCGCTAAGGCTCGGGGCCGCATGCTGAGTCCTGGGGCAAAGCATGCCTCACACCCTGGGCAGCCCTTGCCTTGTGTCTTTTGTTTGGTACTTATTTTGAGTCAGGGTTTCCTTATGCAGCTCAAGCTGGCCTTGACCTCACAGTATCCAGAGCTGACCTCCAGTTCCCTAGCAGTCCTCCTGCCTCAGCCTCCCGAGTGCCGGGATGACTGGTGTGCGTCACCACACTTGCGTGTTCTTGTTTTTTGGGAGCAGCTGTGAGGGTCTTCAGGGTCTGTGCTAGGCAGACCCCTTGCAATGATCTGAATGAGGTGGGCATCGGCTCTGCCAGGAGTGGGAAGCTGGTTCCAGGGACCCATGAACCCGAGCCCAGGCGGCCCAGGCGGCCCAGGCTGCTGTGCCTCCTGGGTCCTGACGCTGCTGCCTCTGCAGCCTTCGCACCGCATGGGGCCACCTGCGATGGTCAGAGCTCACTGGCCTGCCTTCCGGTCAGCCCAGGCACAGGCGCCTCCGCCAACCCCTCCCTGTGCAGTATCACTGGCCAAGGCAGCTCCCTGTTCTCCGCAGGGACCCCCAGACCCTGGGAGCCCTTGTGTCCCACCTGTCGTGCCCAGGGCCACGCTCGTGCTGGCAGGAGTGCAACGAGCTGGCGCAGAGCCCTGCTGGCACCTCCGGAGCTCATCTCTCCGCACATGAGGGGGTACAGCATGGTGGCCATGCTCGCTGCATGGCGTGCTGCTCAGGTGGGGGCCGGCAGGGTCCGGGGATCCCTTGACTTCTCTTGGGATGGGCACCCAGTGTCACTGCCGAGCTCAGAACTGGGCCTGCTTCTTTTCGCAGGTGAGCATGGCCATGAAGAGGCCCCCAGACTATCCAGGGCCCCCGTTCCTGAGAGGCCCCATGCCGCCCCCCCGTGGGCTATGGGCCGCCGCAGCCACCACCACCCTCAGGCCCTTCAGGCCTCGGCCGATGCCTCGTAGGCCAGCGCCACCATTCGTTACGGTAGGACACTTGGGCTGGCACCACCACCTACCCTGTCCTCTCCTCTCCTGTCCTGATTGTCAGCTGCAGCCCTCCAGACTTGCAGCATGAGGCCCAGCACCTGAGCCCAGTGCAGCCTCCAGAGTTGCTTGGACCAGAAGGGCCCTTCCCACAGAGCCGAAGTGCCAGTTCCAATGGGGGTGGTCACCCGGGCCATCCGGGCCTGTGGCATTGGGAGAAGGGAGGGTCAGGCTGTGGTTGAGCCATACTGAGCCTCAGTTTTCCTTATCTGTGAAGTCCAGTGCATCACTCGGCTTCCTGGCTCAGGTGAAGGGAAACACTTTGAGCAGACCTGGGCTGCTCCTCAGGACGTTGTCTGCGTGTCCCTCTTGCTTTCCAGTCCCTTGCAGGGGCCCACCACTGGGCTTAAGAGAGTACGTGCCCGGCATCCAACCCAGATGCCGCAACCTGCCGCTGCACCCCGGCCAGTTCTTGCCAGGACCTGTGCCATTTAGGCCTCCAGGCCCGCTCAGCCCCTGAGAGTATTTCATTCCTGCTCCTGAATGCCACCACCGCCTGCTGGGCCCAGGACTACCCACTGCTGCCTGCCACAGGGGAGCCCCAGCTCTCAGGGCTGAGAGAGGCCTCAGCCTCACCACTAAGCAGCCAGGAACCTGCCCAGGCTTGAGGCAGAGCCCTTAATGGCCCCACTACTCACAGGGCCAAGGTTTTTATTGGATTTGGAATTCTTTTTAAAAGGAAGTTCGTTTTAGTAGGTTTTTAGTATTAAGCTCCTGGTCCTCACTTCCTTTGGTTTGATGTTGCTGAGACCTAAAAACATAAACCTGGAAACCCACTATTAAAATGTAGCCCAATGGCTGTGTCATGCTCCTTCATTGCGGGCTGCAAGGCAGAGTGCAGGGCTGGGTCCTCCACAGCTGAACATGCAGGGTGGGGCGGGGGCAGCACGTGCTCAGCAGAGCTGGGGTGCAGACAGCGAGGTGTCAGAAGGTGAGCACACACCACCGGGCACCAGAACTCATGCTCCAGTGGCAGCAGCCAGCCCAGGGTGCACCCTCAGGGAGGCAAGGTAGCAGGGAATCCCAGGAGCAGCCAGGAACTGACTTCTCAGGTCCTGAGGAGACGCTGCTGAGGTGGGTTGCTTGGCCTGCTGGGCCTTGCCTACCCTGGCATCCTTGGCCACACGGGAGAGCAGTGGGTGAAGGTGGCTATGAGAACAGGCTGGCCCTGACTGCTGTGCCTCCTGGGACCTCCAGAGCTGGCTGCCAGTGGGAGGCAGGATGAAGTACCCATAGGGCTTTGCACAGGAGGGTAATTCCAAAAAAAAAAAAATGTAGATTTTCCCCAATTGATATGTTTTGAAAAAAATTTTTCCACGCCTGCTTCCTGGTTGCACTCTATTTACAGGCTATGTAGAAGTGGAAGTGGACTTGTGTGTCCTGAAGAGGTTGACAGATCACATTCAGAGGGCACATTGGTGATTCGGTGCCACTGTGCTTGGGTTGAAGACTGCCAACAGTGCTGCTGGCGTCCGTGATCTCTAGACACGAATTGAGATGGAGGCTGGTGGATGGCGTTCTTTTCCTGAAGGATTCCTTAATCACCTTTGAGCTGAGTCTTCCTGACTTCAGGGGCCTCACCTTTCCAAGTACTATCTCAGGCAGTGTGAATGTATGTGTGTGTGTATACATGAGGCAGAGGTCTGTATCACACAGAGACAGCTGCGAGGTGGGCTCTGGGCTCCCCAAGGTCATCCCAAAACGAAGGGAAAGGAGAGTGTTGCAGTAAACCAAAGCTCAAGGAGCCTTGTATAATCCCAGCTTCCCCTGGAGCCTAAGTGTAACATTAAATGTGCGGTTTACACTACTGTGCTCCACTAGCGTTTTGGATCAGAAATATTTTGTTTTGAGATAGTGTGTCATTATATAGTTTATGCTGGTGTAGACTCAGTGTGGTAGCATAGGCTGGCCTTGAACTCACTTCTGCCTCAGCTTCCTGAGCTGGGTTTACAGGTATGTGCCACCACATCCAGCTTAGATCTCTTTTTAAATTCTCAGAAAAACCAACAGCAGGAGAAACATTGGAGACCTTGGTTCCCCACACCCGGCATCCCCATCAAGTGCCACTGGGGAACCAGACAGAAAATAGCACCCTGTGCAGGTGGAGGGTTCACTGTGAGTTGCAAACAAACATAAATTTCTTTTGTTTACAAAAAGCGCCTGCTGGGCCGGGGATTTAGCTGGGTGAATAAGCCTGCTTGGCAAGCAAGAGGTTGAGAGTTTGGTCCCCCGTACCAAAAAAAAAAAAAAAAAAAAAAAAAGTGCCTCCTATCATTAGAGATCAGATGGATTCTCACCCTTCCCTTTTGACATGAAAATAAGTCTCTAAAGCAAAAAGTAAAAGCAGTATGTTAGTGGGGGTTTTTTTGTTTTTTATTTTTCTCTTTAGTATATTGTTTTATAGCTCAGAAGCAAGGCTTTGAGCATCTTATGGCCTAAGTTGGAATCAGCTCACTATCTGATTAGTTGTAAGTTATTTTCTAGGCTTGCTCTTAGGTCAGAAAACAAAGCAGTAAAATTGATTCAGAAAGCTCTTTTAAAAATTACTGTGCTTACTGTTTGCAGAACGAAGCCTCAGAATTGTGCAGACAGTGTAGTGACAGGTCCCTGAATGGTGTGGCAGGCCCACTTGCAGCTTCGGAGACGTCAGGGGTTGATGCTGACACCAACCTCGGAGCAGGACCAGCCAGGGCAGAATGGAGCTCAGCCCACAGCTGCGCAGCTGACCACAAGCAGGGTAGAAGCCTCACGCTCCTCAATCACTTTTTCTCAGATTATGTTATTATATTCTTCCCATTTTTTGGTTCCTGTTCCTTGGAAGTCAGTTGTAGGATATGAGAAAGAGAAGACATGCATTTTATACAGAAATTTACTTTTACAATCATGACACAACTTTACTTTTGTTATACTCCTTAATGCAAATCACGGTAAAAGGAAAATAATAGAGCCTGAGGTCAAAGATTGTTGTTTCTATTGTAAACTCTCACTCTTGCGCCCAGCAGTCACCGGTGGGGTGAGGGGTCACGGGCTTCCCCCCGGAGTGACGCAGCCTGCAAGCCGTGGCACCTCCAGTCCAGGGAGCCAGAGTTCCAACAGCTCTCACAGCAAGCAATGAGCCAGTGGAGGCTGGGAGTATTAACAAACAAGTTTTTATTAGCTATTACTACAAAGGACATCAGCGGGGTGGGAGGGGATAAGGGGTGATCTTTGAATAAATATCTTTAAGTAACAGTCTTTTCAACCAGGATGGGGCAGGAGGGGTAAAGTTTATAAATACCACTACTCTATTCAGCTGGCGGGCATGGAAATACATTTCTTACATGACATTGTGAATCATTTTATACTTATCTATGCTATATTAACTAAAATATAGGGATCGTTATTGCACATTTCAGTTGAAAGTTCACTCCAGTTTAAGAGGCAATTTTTAGAGAGGAAAATGAGTCTTCTGAATTGTTTGGCTCAAAAATGTGCTCTGCTCAAAGACCCCACAGGGCAGAGACTGCACCACGCTGCTTAGAGGGCGTGTGGAGACAACAGGTATGGCTCTCGCCCCACCCTGAGGAGCCCACAGCCTGGGGATCGGACACCTGAGAGTTTAAGAACTGAGTGGAAAAATTCAACTTATTAAGGCCAGTTGTTCATGCCCTGGGGGTACTGTGGACTGAATCACTGTTATGGTTGTCTTTTATCCAGGCAGGATGAAAGGCAAGGCTGAAGCAGGCTAAGCATTCTGTCAGGCCCTCCATTTGGTCAGCACCCACCCAGTGAGCAGAGGGGCCTCACGGACACCAGAATATAGCAGAGCTCTGAGGCACATGGGCCACGGTCACCTCAGTCGGAGGCAAACACACTGAACAGTGTGACCAGGGCCCTGACACCACCATAAAACAGGCAGGAACCAGCACTGCACCCTTACACACCATGGGTTTAAAATAGTGTATATCAAAATTTCAATGTTGTGTGTCTAGTATTTACCTCATGTGTGCTATGAAAATTTCATTCATGCCTCTTAAAAGTAATGTAAACTGTCAAAACTGTAAAACACTGCTGACCTACGCATTTTCGTATGGATAAATGCCAGTATATCTAAACAGGAAATCAATGGCAATCCTAGCTATTGATATTAAAAAAAAATTAAAACGTCTGCTGATTTTCCATACTCATCACTAAGAAAAGGTATGCAGGTTTGAAGTTTCACAATCACTTGTCAGATAAACAGCGTTTATTCCTGCAGTATCTCATTTGTACTGGACACAGTTATTTTCAGATGATACGACTTAAGACACTGTAAACCCATCTAAAAAGGTGTGTTTATTCTGGGATGCTTCCAATGTTAACTCTAAAATCATCAGAAAAAATAACAATGTGATGTAAAACAGGTGATCAACACGATTAAAATATGTTACTTTCAGAAAAATAATCTGGTTCTCTGGGAAAAGAAATCACAGCCACCACTTGGAGACACTGATCTGGGCAAGCAAGGTACACTATTCCACACAGGACATCAGAGCCGGAAGTCCAGCAGCCCGTTCCACTTGAGGGGGGGGCTCTCCACACAGCCTGGCCCCAGGGAACAGGTGTGTAAACTCAAGCACTTTCTTGTTGCTGTGTGGGGTCTGAAGATGAGCACGCCTCCCACAGCTGCACTGTTCTGGGAAGCCAGGTAGAATCCGAGGCAAATTATAAAACAGACTATGGATCACACAATTAACAGAGAAGAGCATGGTCCGGCACCTACAGTAAGCCTAGGCCCAAAGGGGACTTGCTCTGCAACATGCCAGACTCGGTTCCAAATTGCAGCCATGCCAGATACTCACTGGTCTGCTGGGTGGGCACAGCCCACTGCCTGCCCAAGAGAGGGAAGATCCTACAGCGCTGTGGCGTGTGCTACTGGCTGGTAAGATTCACAGGAGTTCCAGGGTACTCAGGTGAGGATAGGTCCTTGTGCAAAGTTTGATGCAGGTGAAGATAAAGTGGTTTCTTGGTCAATAACTGTAATTTTTTTCTTTTAAAGTCAGTGGATTTCTTGTTGCTGTAACCACAAAAGACAGCCTTGTTTAGAATACCTGGTGACTGATCTGCAAGGTCATCCAACAGGGAAGCGGGGCTGGGAGGACACCTGAGAGCAGCGCTCAGCCGTCCACACGCCACTTACAGTTCAATCACAATCGGCCTGGGTTTGATCTCGTCCATCTCCATGAGGGCGAAGCACTTGGTGCTGGTGAACCTCTTTTTGGGCTTGTAGTGCTTGAATTCAAAAAAGATGGCTGCACCTGAGGGGGGAAACACACAAGCTGGTGAACCATGGCCAGCTCGTCCTCCTGGATCCAAGCGTTCTCACCACCACAGGGAACAGAGGGACAGGCAGGATTTGACAAAGTGACCTGTGTCCAGTGTGGTGTGGTGTGGTGTTGTGACTCTAACCTAGTATGGCAGCCCCCAAACTGCTGGGTCCAAGCACTGCTTCTGACTGCACCACCTCGCTGTACGAGCATAGCACAGGTCTCTGAGCCAGGCTGACCCGAGTCAGTTACTTGCATAAGCACAGTCACTGAGGAGTATAGACGTCAAATACAGGAAGAGGAATGTGAAGGTGTCACAGCTTAGCAGAGCCCAAAGCACTATGTACTGCAAGCAACAGACGTTAGAGAGTTTCTTACACTGAAGCATCTCTTTCTCCTCAAACAAAAATCTCCAAATTCAGTATTTTTGAGGCTGGGATTCGAACTGTTTATCCCGTTCTAATCTTTCCAAGTAAACACGAGGCTGGCCGGCAGCAGCACTGCACTCTAGTGAACACTGAACACGGAAACGTAATCTGGGTACTTCAGAAATGTGTGCTGTCTTCACCCAGCTTCCCAACAATGACCTGCCAGGGCCAGCAGCCCCAGGACAGGCCAGTGAGGCCGTGGGGACCTGCAGAAGTGCCTTCTGCCCTGCTGTCAACGTGAAGAGACTTCCCACTCGCTGCAGAAGGCAATGAAATCTCATATCAAAGAGCATTTCCAGGGCAACTGTACAACTGGATCATGTGATTCCTAGTTCCCACATTTTTCCAAAGTACTCACAGATTCAACTTTCTCAAGTCAGTGTCTCTCGACACCCACGGGACACAGATGTGCCAGGCACGACCTGTGCCGCACCACACCACACTGTGCTCATACACCAGGGTGTACTAGCCGGCCAAACCCCTGCATTCCACAGATACCTTTGGTCAGCTTCTCCACATGCTTCTGGAGCTCAATGTCCACGTTGAAATGGACATATGTGTCCTTCTTTCTTGAAGCCACAGGTGTGTCCAGCACAGGCGTCAAATCTATGCTGTTCAGATCTAGAGAGAAACAGGTTTCTATGTCGGGACACTTGCAGGCACACACTGAGGAGTGTCAAGAAACCACAGAGGCCTGCAGGGCTCCTGGAGAACAGACTCCCACTTGCTGCTGGTGTGCAGGAAACTGCATGGGTCAGGGCAGGAGACTTCTGGAGTAGGGAGCACACCCTGCCTGGCCCGATGAGTGCAGAGCAGGAGGCAGACACAGCGTGGTCTGCATGGGTAAGAGCTGATGCCCCTACAAGACAGTCCCCCACTTCTGGTGCAACAAAAACCTGCAGTGCACATGATTTGTGAAAATGTAGCTCTGGCCCTAATTTCTAATACTGATCACGTGCATGACTTGCAAAGAGCTTTAAATTAACATTTTCAGAATTTCCTTGTTATACTTAAGTCCAGAACCAAAAATGGACATGAGAACCTCCAACAGAACCTTTCATCAATAAATAAAATGTCATGGCCAGGCGTGGTGGCTCACGCCTGTAATCCCAGCACTCAGGAGGCTGAGGCAGGAGGGTCGTTGTGAGTTCGAGACCAGTCTAGGCTACAAAGTGAGCTCAAAGCCATCCTGAACTGCATAGAGAGACCCTGTCTCAAAAAGACAAAAAAAAAAAAAGTCATGTACACCACCAAAGTTCTGGTTACAGTTACCATAACATTTAAAACCACAAGAAGGAAACTAACTCATTGTGTAGGTTGTAATGTCCAGGATCAAGAATCCCAGTTAATCAATATACAGTCTCCCTTCAAGACTGCTCGGTGTTCATATACTGTTCATTACAAAGGTGTCTCAGGGCACCTAAGTTAGCCCAATGGCCTGTTTCCGCCCTTCCAGGCATGGCCCAGTTCAGCAGCTGTGCAAAAGCAGCTCAGCATGCACTGCATCACCATGAAGTGCTCCTGTGTACTACAGCACACATTTCCAACTGGGTTACACGGCTCTGCCAACGGCCAACAGAGAGCATGGAGCCGAGCGCGTCCCGTAGTGTCCGTCTCAGCTGAGAGACAATGCCAGAAGTCAGCATCGCAGCACAGTGCAGTCACGTTTGCTCTATGGCTGAACTCCTTTTTCTCCTGTCGGTCTGTGTTTATTTCTAGGACTGATAAAAGTTCTCACCAGTTAACTTCAGCCCCGCTGTTTCCTGATTTGCCTCCAACTACAGATTAAAGTAATATACTTGTATTGCGCAGTTATTTCTGGATAATGGAGTGACTTGTTCTGTTTTTTTAAATTTTATCATCAGGTTTCACTGTCTTTCCTAGGCCAGTCTCAAATCCCTGGGCTCAAGTGATCCTGCTGCTTTAGCTGCCTGAGCAGCTGGGATTACAGACCTGACAACCAGTAACTATTTTTTAAAAAACTTAAGTGATGTACAAATATGTTCAGCAGCAACAAAAGAGTGTAAGCGCTGGTCTCTCTCTTCTGGGATAAGTGCACTGCTGCACCAGAGAGGGGAAGGGCAAGTACCAAGCAGATGCCTGTCACCTCCTCACTACGGCAGTGGTGCCTAGGGCCCACGTGGCCTGGATGCTGCTGGGCTGCACCTGCTTCCCTGTCCCCACTAAAGATGCCCTAAAGGCCTGGTGCTCCCACGGGCCTGGAGTCAGAAGCCTCAGGGACAGGAGTGTGGGAAGACAGAGCACAGGGCTCAGACAAGGAGGTAAGGGCTCAACAACCTTCACAGGGCAGAAGCCCTTGGCAGGGAGACTGTGGGGTTCTGCTCAGCACCCCAGAGTTAGAAGAACAGCAAGACGAGCTAGAGGCTGGGGCGGGGAGATAGGGGACATGGAGAGAATGGATCCTTATCACACAAAAACACACACACACAGACCAACTCCTGGCAAGGAAGTAACTGCCGCATACCGCAGACAGGCCTCTCTCTTCTGGGAGAGAGACGCTCCTGAAAGCGTGCATGCCAAAGAAAAGGCTGTCACGCTAAATTTGAAGAGAACAAAAGACAGACAATCTCCAAAGCAAGGGTGCAAGTTACAAAAAAGGAAAAGGAAACTATTTTCAGTAAACTCGTCAGAAATGGTTAGTGATGGAGCCATATTTCTTGCAGAAATTCTGCCTCATTGTAAAGTGAATTAAAATGAGGTGTCATAGATACAGGTTTGGTCCGCCCCAGGGACTCCGGTTTCCTCTGGACTCCAGCCCTGTGCCTTTCCTTTGCTGACTGTGTTCTTGTGAGCTCCTTCTGTAACAGCTCTTAACAGTCACTACAATTTACAACTCCTCCTCAGGCATCTCTGAGTAAGCGGATTGCTTAGGCTCCCTTGACAAAGACAGAAAGGTACTTTCACACTACAGCTACTGCAAAGTGTAACCCACAGAAAGCTACACAGGACCGGCATGGGCTCTGGAAGGGTTATTCCCCAGCAAGAATCCAAGGTAAGTTCCAAGCACCCTGCTCCTGGATTAAATAGTGTATTCTTCCCATGAGCTACCTATCAGGGACTCTAGCAGGAAAGGAATCTTGAGATTCTGCTCCAGCACCACCCTCTTCTTCAAATTCTAAATTCTCTTCTTCACCGGGTGCTAAAATTCTTCTACATGAAAAAAGATACAAAAATTAGTGAGCAACCAGTTTAATATACTAGTGAAGCGTCACAGATTATCATTTCTCAAGGCATGATGGTGATTATTTTTTTAAAAAGCCAATATACTGATACCCATGTTGATATCAATGATATCATCACTATCAATGATACCAATCACACCAATGATACCAACACTGGCATACAAAAACAAGTGTCTAAATGCAGGCATAAAATAGCAAAGCAAGGAGTAAAATATGGATGGTTTTTAAAATTTTTACCTTAATGGGACAGGCTGAACATCAAATGGAAATTCTTTATTATATGTAAGAATACTCTTTAGGACTAGAATAAAAAGATAAACATGAATTCTCCGGCAAATAAAATCCAAGGTTTTTTAAATCTTATATGGATCTTAAATGGCTAATTTTAAATCATCTTCACTATGCACATGCTTTTAAATTCCCTGCCTCACTATCAACCAGAATCATTGTGGATTTGTTCACAATGGTCTTAACAAAGATGGGGTTACAGAGAGAATGAGCAGCTCTTCCCTACAGTACTGTAATTAATGAAAGAGTGGTATCAAAAATGACCAATTTGTGAGATACAGGGGCACATCCTACTCTGCACTGAACAGATTTCCTCTGAACACCATAAATTGGTAAGGTTTGTATCTAAAAGGTTCCAATTCTCATATAATCACACACCTATAAACATATATGTACACATACATGTACACTCACACATACAGTGAACTCTATGCTCAAGAGAAGCCTCCAGACAATATGGCAGGACTTCCTGCATCCTGGCTATGGCTGCCCGACATCTCCGTGACTGTACACTGGAACGCCAGCTCAGAGAGACAGTCATAAACCCTACCGATACCTGGACAGGCACTGTGAATATGCAATGCATTCTCTTTTCTGGTCTTACGGATTTCTCACAACCATCTGCAGTTACATCAAAGTGAACTCACTGCATTAACTGGGCAACCCCAACTCCCATGATTTTGTACTCAACTTAATCAGCCTTTAATTTGAGAGTTTTGCAGTTAGCACTAAGAGGTAGAACATGTTGGCATCCTTTTATTCCAACAGGAGTTCGATTTGCTTATCAAAATTATCTCCCCCCCCCTCCCTTCCTTCTAGCAGTACAGGAAGGAGCCTAGGGCTTTTACACTGAGCACATCTCCAGTCCTTTTCTGTTATTCTTTATTTTGAGATAGGATCTTGCTAAGTTGCCCCAGGCTGGGGTTGATTTGTGATCCTCCTGCCTCGCCTCCCAGAGTGCAGAGATTGCAGGTGTGAGCCGTCAAGTCCAGCTTTATCAGGCTTTTCTATGTGCTCTACTAAACCACCCAGTGAAAGGAAGCTAGTACTTGCGTCTAGAGTCTCAATCTTCACTCTCTCCCTCTTCTGTCACAGCTTCTCCCTTAACAAATGTGGACTGAGTGCCAAAATGCCCCAGACATTGCTTTAGGTCTGAAAACTAGAGTGATCAAGAACTCAAGTCCAAACATTAGACCCTGTGGAGGAAAAGCAGACAATACATATACCCACAAATAAACAAGGTAGTGTAAGATGCAGAAGTGTTATGAAGGATACAGGCCGGATGGGATATAAATGCAGTAGTGTGAGTGCTGGGTAGCACAACCAAGCAGGACATCGGAATCCTTCAAACCTAACTTGTTAGCAGATGAGAAGAATCACCCGAGCAGCCCCAGATGAAGAAGAGCAGCCACAGCTGGGCCCGCTGGAGGCCTGGCATGCATAGCGGGGCTGAGGTCTGACAAACACGGGGGAGCGCAGCAGATGAGCAGATCAGCCCCTCTGCTGGTGCCTGAGATGAGAATATTCGCAGAGCCGCTCTGAGTCTCGGGCTCCCCAGTTCTAAAATGGGGATGCCACGCCTTCAGACTGCTAAGAGAATTCAAGTGAAATAACAGATACAAAACTGTCGATGTCCGCTCCCGGCCGGCAGGAAAGACACACGACAAGGTCTGGCGGTGGTCAGGCCTTTCTTTATTCTCTCCTTATACAGTCTGCCCCGAAGCCTCTACCGGTCCGCTCTCCGCGGCTCCTTCCGTGCTTCAGTCTGCCCCGAAGCCTCTACCGGTCCGCTCCCCGCGGCTCCCTTTGTGCTTCAGTCTCTCTCTCTCTCGGGGGTGGAGGCACTGGCTATATATAGGATTAATAGCTAGGCAGACTACCCTGTGAGGCGGGAACTTAGTGGGGTGATAAGAAACAGGTGCCACACAGGCGGGCTCGATGAGAGGGGTAATCTAGCCCAGGCCTTTGTACTTTCCCACAGGCCTCGCAATCACCGCGTCTGATGACTTGACAGTGCCACGGCTCCCAACATCTCCCCCTATTTTATTTTAAATGATGGCTACGCGCATCGCAGCCCGTCCTGGATAGAGTGCAGAGGCCTATGCCCCGAACTGAGGCCCACCGTAGGCCCTTAGCGTAGACCCTGGTCGGCCGTCCCAGGGTCCACCAAGGCCCTGAGGCCCTCGTCCTTTTTTCTAGGGCCAGGAATGAACCGGACGGAACCTGGTTGCACATAGGCATGCACTCATTTCTCTCCACGAATCCCCTCGGAGAGAAATTTATCTAACAATCCAGCGGCTTTCGAGCGGAACGGGGTAGGGCCTGGCTTAGGTTGAGTCGTGCTGGGGAGGCACGCTCTTACCCGTCATTGACTCACCCACCCTGCTACATGTTGTTGTCTAGGGAGGAGAATGTGGGAAGCCTGTCACTTTTAAACGCGGTCGTAGGCCATGCGAGCGAGCCATGCGTATACAAGGGTAGCACATAGGGGAGCAAGCCGTTCCAGGCCCCCAAAAAGGGATTGTCCTGCAGTTCTTTTAGGGCTCATCTTGTTGTTGGGTCTGCGGTTGGCCTCTGGTGGAACAGGCCTGATCTTCAGTCGAGGGACTTGTCGCGTCAACCTCTCTGGGACCCACATTGGTTCTCGTCCCGATTCCTGCGGAAAGACACAAACCGCGCCTCGGCTTCCTCTTTTGTATCTCTGCCCTCCTTGACGGACCCTTCTCGGGAGCTTCCTCACTGTGCCTGTTCAAACACCTCGCGTACTTCTACAAGTTCTTGAGAGCTCCCCCCGTAACTACCCTCACTCTTTAGGCACGTGTGTATCATTTCCCACAATGGACGAGCAGAGACTGAAGCTCTACCCTCCCGCTCTGCTAGGGAAAGGTCTCTGCCCAACTTTTCCCAGGAGGGCAGGTTTACATGCCCTGTAGGCAGAAACCAGGGAGCAAAGCTGTCAATCTCTGCAAGGAAATTTTCTAAAGTCTTACGCCCCACCTTGAGGTCCTTGGACTTTAGGAGTCTCCGAAGGACCAACACCAAGGCTGTGTATCTTTACTTGGCATGTTTCCCATTTTTAATATATCTTCTGTTATTTTTACTTCTATGTTTATGTTTTACACTCTTTTATTACCTTAAGTTCTGGTGTTATGTTTCATACTCACCGCGTGAGGCCCAAGAAACCCGCCACTTACGCGTGAGGTTGAGAGGAGTCTACAAACCCTGTAGGTGCGCGCCACCCAGGGCCCAGGCTTATCCTCTACTCACCTGTCCTGCAGCTGCAGCACTGTGTAGGAGAATGCAGTCCACCGCCGCGTCTCGGGGTTGATCAATCCCCGGGCGGGCCTCCAAATGTCGATGTCCGCTCCCTGCCGGCAGGAAAGACACACGACAAGGTCTGGCGGTGGTCAGGCCTTTCTTTATTCTCTCCTTATACAGTCTGCCCCGAAGCCTCTACCGGTCCGCTCCCCGCGGCTCCCTTTGTGCTTCAGTCTCTCTCTCTCTCGGGGGTGGAGGCACTGGCTATATATAGGATTAATAGCTAGGCAGACTACCCTGTGAGGCGGGAACTTAGTGGGGTGATAAGAAACAGGTGCCACACAGGCGGGCTCGATGAGAGGGGTAATCTAGCCCAGGCCTTTGTACTTTCCCACAGGCCTCGCAATCACCGCGTCTGATGACTTGACAGTGCCACGGCTCCCAACACAAAACCACATCGACACATTTAAAACACCATGTGTGGACGCCTACACTGTTACACAGTAAACTCATTCTCTCTGTGGGCTCCCTGTCTAGCAGCCTTGAATCCCAGTATTCCATATCTCACTAGCAAGTGTTATTTTTAGAGTATAAGAACATCTTTTCTAACCTTACTGCATGTCATTATTAGTAAACTGTTAATTCAGTTCAGAAAATACCAATTAATCACTTCAGAGCCCTACACGATGCTAACAAGGGGAAGAATGTGCCAAAAAAGACTAGGGTCATGGATATCAGAAACAAAGCAGAAAAAGTCATGCTTTAATAATCATAAGGTGAATTATGTTTTAATAATAATACAATGAGAAAATATTCTTTAAAGTACATACAAAGTAACATCAATTTTTTAAAACTGGAAACTACATCACTTATATTGTATTTGCATAGTAATAGAATATTTTGTTAGGTATCAATACTTTGAAAATTAAATGTTTGCTAGTTAGATATATCCAATATTTATAGCAATAGCTTTATAGCAATAGCTTTGGAAGGAAAAAAAGACCCTTTCTTACTGCCTCTAACACTAGGATAGGCTTCCATTTTCACTGGCTATGGAATAATGGACTCTAGTGTCCTTTAAATCTGAACTCTTCCTTAAAGTTTCCAAAAGGTTTCCTCCCACCAATCCAGTACTGAAGTCTTAGGAAGAGGTGGAGAAGAGAAGAGAGCACTGTTTGTGACTCCACAGCAAGCTCTTGTACCCACTCATGGCAGGGCCAAAGCGGTTTTCTGCTGGGGACAGGCGGGATGTGCGGAGTGTGGCCTGCCACCACCCTGACACTCACACTACAGGGATGACGCGCACACAAACATCAAGAAGTGTTCTGCGTTTCTGCTGGGGACAGGCGGGATGTGCGGAGTGTGGCCTGCCACCACCCTGACACTCACACTACAGGGATGACACGCACACAAACATCAAGAAGTGTTCTGCGTTTGTGGCTGACGTGCTTCATTTTTGTGGTAGGCAAATTGGGCAATGCTTCCACTCTCAAAGGTTGTTTTTCAAATTATGCGAGAAGATTCCCTCAAGACATTCACATCTGCGCAACCCAGCATAAACCTGCCTAGTGCAGACTGCATGGGCTCTGCAGGAAAATACAAGGGTATTCCTGATTTCTTTGAGAAGGGAAACAAATACACATGACAATCATACAGGGCAGAATCTGATATGGATATAAAAAATGCTTCTATAAGGGACAGAACACAATTAGGCTGGAGGAAGCAGGGGAGGGAAGGGTTTCTCTGCAGCCTTGAAGGATCAATTAGCAGAAGGGAATTTTACAGCATGGGGGTGGGAAGATACGTGGGAGAAAAAAAGCAGTGTATCAGTAAGGATTTAACACAAGAACACTGACTAGTGCTTTCCCAGTCACTGTTTTAGTATACATTTCAAACAGGAGTTTCAAGAGATTTGCAAAGTAAACCAGCTAAGTTTAACACATTGAAAGCTACATTCATTCATTTTCCTTAGAAAAGGCTTGAACACGGGCAAGCTGTACTAAGAACACTTCATCTAAAACATAATCTAGTATCAGCTTTAGAAGCAGTCTAATTCCTGATAAAGTAATTAACTCAAAAAGCACTCACCTCTGATGAATTCAACACTCACGCACGCGTGCACGTGTGTGCATACACACACAAGCACACATGCAGGATCACCATAGACTGTACTCCAATCTTCCACTAACACATGGGTTGATAACCTCGCTGGAGCTTCAGCAGAGAAGCACAGCGCCCAGGGCAACACCTGCCCCATGCAAACCCTGTGCAGCCAGCCAGCTGCAGGGGAAAGACTTCTTATCTGTATACTCTGAGCTGTTACTCTAAGAACAGCACCCAGCAAAACATCTCCCTGAGCAAGCTTTTAAGAAAAGATAAGAAACGGCAAACAGTTCAGTCTTCAGGGTCATCCTGTGCAATGCTAAGCTTCCCAAATATTCCTTGGAAACAAAAGCAAATGAAAAGTAGTGATTAAATTAAAAAGCCAAAATCCTACTGTAATTCTTTTATCATTAAAAGTGGAATGTAATGCTTTTCTTTATAACCACCATACAACAGATACCCTAACTAGAGTTGTAATCTTTTACTTAATGCATTAGTGTGGTTTCTTTCCTCAAAATAATCTAAAACACAGCTGGTAACCAAAGACAATAAATTATAGGATTCTACTTACATGAGATGCCAGAATAGATGAATTAAATTAAGGATGGCCCAGGGATAGGGATGGCAGGGATGGATGGGGAGAAAAGAGTGACTGCTGAAGACACAGAGTTTCTTTTATATGATGAAAATGTCCTAAAATTGATGGTGGTGGTGGGTGCACAAGTGTCAGGTCGCTGAGAAACACTGAAATGTACACTTTACATTGGTGAATTGAATGGTTGGTAAATTATACACTGATAAAGTGATCATAAAAATAATCTGAAGACTTCTGGGAGAACATGGCGGACAGATAGCAGCAGCTACAGAGGCTCTCTGAAAGACCCAGCTTAGAATTCAGGAATGGTGCGGAGTAAGGAATCATAAGCAAGTGGAGATATGCCCTGCTGACCCAAGAACAAACTGGGCTGAGAGAAACCAAGTTGGAATGCAATCTTGGTGCTATCACAGGAACAGAAAACGCCTCAGTGTGGAAGCTGGGGCCCGCAGCATTGGAAGCCGCGATTTGGGTTTCCCACCGCACGGCGGCTGCGTCTACATTGGCTCGGCAGGGAGAGAGACGCATGGAAGCTCTGAGAACGGGAATCGATGAACGGAGTTGAAAGCAGGACAGGCGGGGAGCTGTGCATTGACTTGTGGTGAGGTGAGTGAGAGAAACTGAGACTCTTCCACAGTTTAGGAGACTCCAACAGAGGACATTCTGGGACTGGGCAGACTTGCGGGAACAGGGCGCTGCAGTGACTTCAGCCACGTATCCCCCTCTCAAGCGGGATTGGTGAGAAGTGACTAGCCTATGTGACGCTGCTGGCTGAGACCCAGTAGGCTAGCACAATCAGGATCCCAGTGCCTGAGGGTGACCTGGAGGGGCGGGCTCCGCATAGGCTGCATGGTCTGCAACTTCCTGGTGTGCTGCGGTGGGCGGGAACACCTAGCCAGCGCAATTCAATCAGACTGTGGCTGACAGGGAAGGAAGCTGGGCCACCTATATATGCTTGCATAAATAAGGAACAAAGAATATGGGAAGAGGGAGCAACAAGAAAGGCCCTTCAGCCCCCAATCCTGAGAAACAGGCAATAGCGGACACCGCACCAATAGACATAAAGCACCATTTCCAGAGCCTCATAGATGAGTTCAGGAATGAAGTTATTAATGACCTGAAGCTAGAAATAAGTAGAATAGTTAGAGAAATGCTAAGCACCACCCAAGAAAAAACAGATGGTGAAATGGAACAACAGAAAAAGAGGGGAGAATTGTTTGATGGAGAAAATAGAGAAAGCATAGAATACATGAAGCAGGTTCAAAGAGATTACCAGGAAACTAAAACCTCTATCAAAAACTGGCATTACAGCTTGAAAGAAACTAAGGACAGACTATCTGAACTGGAGAGCAGATTTGTAATATGGGAGCATGAAATGAAAAACTTCTTAAAAGTAACAAAGAAACAAACAGCAATAATACAAAGACTAGAAGATGATAAGAGGATCCATAACTTAAGAATTAAGAACATAAAAGAAGAAGTAGGGACACAAACAAATGAACTACAAAAGCTACTCACAGAAATAATCCAGGAGAATTTTCCTAATTTAGCAAAAGGTAAAGATACTCAGTTGTATGAAGCATTCAGGACCCCAGCCGCCTACAACCCAAACAGAGCAACACCCAGGCATATAATAATTAAAATACCAGAAATTCAATACAAGAACAGAATATTAAAAGCTGTCAGAGACAAGAAACAGATCACTCACAAGGGAACACCCATCAGAATTACAGCAGATTCCTCTGCACAAACCATCAAATCACGAAGAGCGTGGGGGGAAATAATTCAAGCTTTGAAAGATAATAATCTCCAGCCAAGACTGATATATCCTGCACAACTATCCCTGGAAATTGATGGAAAAACAAGGTGCTTCCAGGATAAAGAGGAACTAGGGGAATATGCAACCACCAATTCAACCCTACAGAGAATACTGCAGGATATTCTAAAAAAGTAAAATACGAAGAATCCAGAAATAGTGGTGGGGAGGCCACAACGAATGGAGCAGAGAACAAAATGAAGAAGACAAACTGACAGAAAAAGAGCTCAACAGAAATGAGACAGAGAAGATTGGATGATAGGAACAGCTATTTTGGAGAAAATGACGTCTTAATAGGTAATACTGATTTAGTATCATCTTGTTTTGAAGTCTCATCAAGCTTTTGTTCTTCTGTCTCCATTAGTCTAAACAGGTTGTATCTTATTGGATTTTATTATGTATGATAGTATAAGCAAAAACTTTTATAGACAAGGAGATTATACAGAAACCATTATTCATTTTCTGTTAGTTGATTCTAAATACCCTGTAATGCTGTCATTCTCTTAAATGGTTTTACATTGTTTTGATATATTTGATGCTACAGTATACGAAGTTATGCTCAAAGATTTCAAGGAAAGAGACAATATGGTAACTACTTTTATGTCAGGATTATGTTGTGGTGAAATACTATTCTGCTTAAATGGTTGTTTTGATCTGCGCTGTTTTGCTGTTATGCCCTCTTTTATCTCAATCTCCACTTCATGATTTACTTTTTTTTATCCTTTTAATTAAGGGAAAAATAAATAAAAAATAGCAGGATATATTATAGTAACCCACTTTGACTTTCCATTATCTTGATTTAAAGCCCTGTATTACTCTCACCATCTTGTTTTGACTGATGTCCCCCTATTCTGTTTTGCTTGATAGTACCAGGTTCGAAAGTTTAGGCAACAGCTGTGAAGAAAGTGGGATTCATTATGACGCCCATTCTGGTTGACTATTATATACTTTTGAAGACCTGTAATGTCTCCAATGTTTTGGTTTTGTTCTTTACTGTTTTGTTCAATTTTATTATAACTGATGATATAGGCAATTCTATTAGAGATAGCGGGAGGCATTATGGTAACCATTGTTGATCACCTTGTATTATGCTTTTACATTATCTATTATGTCCACCCTTTTGATTTGATTGACTCTGTTCTGTTATGTCACATTTGGTTCTATTCCCTTCCAAAAAAGTAATAAGAACTGTGGGAGCAACAAAACCCAAAATGTGTAATTGTCATTGTACAAAAGAGAGGAAAAGAAAGTGCTCTAAATGATATAACTGCATGTATATTTAAGTGTATAAGATAGATAATGATATCACTGAATTTTGTTGGATCATTGAACAGAACTGTTTGCAGTCTCACTGTTGGAATGTCCATTTTACAAGCTTTAATTTTGTAACTTGAACAATTATTTCTGAGATGACAATATGTAATCCATTAACTAGTGATTTCCTACTGTTTTTTTCTGTAAATCTGTATAGCTTGTACCCTTTCTCTGCTTTTTTTTCTCCTTATATAAAATTAAAAAAAAACAATCTGAAGCAAAGTATCTGTTGATGATTTTTTTTAAAAATACGAAACAAAATTTTGGACACAAGAAAATATGGTTAAAAATAAAAATTTGTGAGAATTTTACATCATTGATTGCCATCACTGTTACTTTGGACATGGGTTAAAACCATTCTGAATATAAAACTATGTTTCTTGTAATAAAAAATTTATGATCTACAGCCAGAGAAGTACAGTGGTACAAGATTTGCATAGCATGCTGCAGGCCATGGATACAATCCCCAGCACCATAACTAAAAACAGAAAAGAAAAAACAACAACAGAAAAAACTCAGTATCATCTGGATTACATAAAGGATCCAAAACTATTAAAATGACATAGTGCATCATAATTCTTACCATATACAGGAGGACAGCCTTCAGAAGAGATTAAACATGATCA